CCTACTCAATTGACACATTAAACACATAAGGATGGTGCAATCTAATAAAGATAGTAAATCTCATCATAGTTCCATCAAGCATACCAATAATGATCACGTACACACGTGTATTGCAGGGGGTCCCGCCATTCAAAATTACACTCAAACTCGTCATGTTCATTTCGGACCGTTACCAAATTCAATGAAGTCTTGGGCAACTTCATATTCGAGAAGCCAGAAATATTCGAACTCCAATGTCAGCAGAGATAACCAGGCATCACATATATTTCAAGGTCAACGCAGTGAGGACGACGCTCCTAGTGACACGGTATTTGCCGAAAACGAAAGATCACCGTTAATTCATCGTCACGATGATGTTTTTGGTCGTTTCGAAGACGCGAGAGATTACGGAAAATTGACAGAACATGGAAAATCTACTGTCAAACAAACAATATTTAACGCAGTCGTGAGTATTCATCCATTTCAAAATCGCAATTTCCAATTAATTCTTGTTTATTAATGCCATTGTTTCTATATTAACGCGAGCAGAATATATTGATGGGCATATCCATCCTTGCATTACCGCTTGCTTTTAGATATTCGGGATGGGTTATTGGAATTTCATTATTTCTGTTCTGCTTAATTTCAACGAATTACACAGCGAAAATATTAAAAAAGTGTCTAGACACCGACACCAAATGTTTGACCTATGCAGATCTCGCGTATTTGGCATATGGAGATAAAGGAAAATATTTTATGGGTGCGGTGTTTCTGTTAGATCTATTCAATGCGGCGTAAGTGTGGGTTGATAATAAAACTTTTGCTCGCGATAATTTTTTAATAAAAAATTATTACATTATAGGATCGCATTAATGATATTGACCGGAGATTCTTTGAAAACCCTTTTTCCACAAGTGGATTTAACCAAATTAAAATTAATCGCCTTCTTCACAATTACACCTGTCACATGGATGCCAATTCATTACCTTTCCTACGCTTCGATCCTTGGTATAATCGCTGCTTCCTCATTGGCTATGGTAGTGTTGATCGACGGTCTCACCAAGCGTGGGGCACCAGGAAGCTTGTTAAATCCCATGGACACTTACCTATTTCCTCCAAACTGGAAGACAGTACCGTTGGCTTTCGGCCTTATCAATTCTGCGTTTACTGGACACGCGGTGTTCCCTTCCCTGTATAAAGACATGGCGAAACCTTGTGACTATGGAAAGGTGGTAAACCGCAGCTATGTGATAGCTAGTATTGTTTACCTCACCGTGGCAGTGTGTGGGTATTTGATGTTTGGATCGCAGACTATGCAAGAGGTAAAAGGAATTACTCGTCGCACCTTTTGTTTTCTAACGTTGCTGATATTGAGTTTCCTAACTCTATTAATCATCATAGATAACACAAAATATCATGGCAACTTCTGATTATAATGCGTTGCTAAACTTTCTGTTGGTATGGTTAATAGTGATTAATCCGCTCTCAAAATTTCCGCTCACCGTGACACCAATTAATATAAGCATTGAAATCACACTCCTAAAAATTCCTTATTTTCGCAACGTGCTTCAATCGAAAATATCGAGGTGTCTTATTCTTTCTGTATCGAGAGTTTTCGTTAATTTCATTATTTTCTGTGTAGCTGTGGTGTTTCCCAGATTTGATCGTGTCTTGGTATCGTAATTTTTTTTTTTGTTGTTGTTGTTTGTTTTTACTCAACGGACATCATAAGTTTTGTTTAACTAAATCAATTATCACTTCGATTTTTTCATGTACTGTATGTTAATCGCGATAAAAGTCCTTACTTGGTTCCCTGTTTTCATTCCTAATTTCCATTATATTCCCATTACTATGCTACATAAAGACTTTTGGAAGGCGTCTTTCAAAGCGTGAAATTGTTTGGAATTTATTGTTGCTGACAATTAGTACACTCATGAGCATCACGGGAACCATTTGGACATTCTTCCCCAGAGAATGGATGGAGCAAGACATTAAAGGTTAAAGCAGGAATGCAGTTTCACGGGAGAGGTTGAGCGTGTAAAAAATCTATATAAGAAAAATAAGGAAATATTTAAAAAATCGGGATTTTCCTTAATTGTCATCTATTTCCATTTTCATGGTATTGCAGATTAATGGAAAAAATTATATACATCATTTCCGTTTTTGATTTAGTGGCCCAAAATGAAACAACAAAATAATTTTATTGTGCATATAGTATGTCCGCCTTTCTAAGTAGGTGCGCGAAGAAATGACAACGAAATGCTGGAAAGTTTTCCTAATTTATAATGCATTGAAGAGTCCGCTCGGTCTTAAAAATAAGTACTACGTAGAAAATCGCTCGAGAAAATATTGTTCCCTTTGTTTGTGAATTGTTCTAAATTAGAAATATGAATAGAAACTCGAGTTCCATTCAAAACAGAAACTTGTTCGTAATATAAATACCTCCTCCCTTTTGCCCACTTTTTAAGAATCCTTTGAGCAACACTCATTTTACAGCGAGAATTGCAAAAAGATCGCTTTTATTACCCGGATTCTGAGTGATCATTTCTCCAACAAATTCGAAGTACTAACTCAACTCCTTGAGCTAAAAATTTTTAGATCTTGAAAATTTTGTTTACTTAAAAACACCCAAAATCTTTAATATGAAGCGTAATGCATCTCTTCCTCCTATAATGAACACTATCGATCATTGCAAATGTATTCCTAAAGATGACGGATCATTGCTTTTCATTTTCTTCTACATTCACAGTATCTATCAAATCTCGTTGCCCCCAATAGCTCAGTACACACTTCCAAAGGGAAAGGCAAATGTCTTTATAGTTTTTAGGATTAACCTTCAATCCGCCTTACGAACACAATGCGATCTAGCGGGTATTAATCGACCCCAGAACGGCGCAGTATCGAAATATGCGTGTCTGTTGTGGCGCAAAATACTTGACGAAAGATACAAAGAGGAAATGAAACACCATGTCGAAAATTTCTACCGAAACCTTCCGAAGACTCACCGTATACTAAATTCTCAAGTTCAGAGCCGCGAAAAAAGAAACGAGAAACGAAAAGGAAAAGGTCCAGAAAAAACAATTCAAGTTTCCACCATGCCCGACATGTTTGATACTCCAAAAGAATATCAATATTCCATTCATTACAATGAAATCCCGATAGAAGAATTTTTCTTAGACTTTTCCGCATACTCAATTCCTTTTCTTTTTGCTCCAGCAAATGAATAAAATAGACGCATATAGGAATTCATTATATAGTAGTCCGTTATTATTGAAGATTTTTCGATTTTTCTAAACAAAGTATTTTCGTTTCACAACATAGACGATGGATAAGAAGTATTCTGTAAAACCATAGAACAAATAAGATATGCTGTATATTAACTTTCGTATAAATACAACAGGTTAAATTTCAAATCAAATATTAACGTCAGTTTAATTCATTAGTCTTAATGCTTGTGCGAGTCAAAATATACTTTAAAGAGAAAAAATTGCCAGGATTCGAAAATTGAACCCAACGTATTCAATAAACTTCCGGCTCACTCGTGCACCAGGATTATTGAATAGAATAGCATGAATAATCAGAAGACTTAAATTTGCTATTGATATATACTGTATATATTTTTTTTTCTTCTAAAACATATGCTGTTTATGCAGCACGAGAATCTTTTTCGATAATTTTAATTACATTTTATTTATTCGATTTAAATGAAAAATTGAAACCATTACTACGACTCTTATAAATAATACACAGTGATCAAGTTTAAAACATGTTAAAAATCTATGGGTCTATAGTACAATAATTAGTATTTTATAAATTAGATCGCAAGACATAAGTCCAAATTTTCTAAGAGACTACTGTATATAAAGTTGATAAAATTTGCATTCCTTGAACTAATTTTATAACAGATTATACATCTAATATTTCTAAATATATTTAAAATTGAAAAAAAAACTTGATATTGATCTGTGATCGATTTGTAATTTAAAGATTAATATCTTTATTAACTATGATTTATTATCGAGTTTTCTTCAAAGACTTGTATTCTAAAGCTTTTTTTTAAATTAGATTTGCTTGATTAAAAAAAAATTTTTTTTTTGTCATCTAAGAAGCTTATCTATTTTTAATCATAATTTCTTTCTTATATATTATCTAAGAAACTTAATATCTTATAAAAATCTTTATATTTAAAATTATATTTTGTTCTAACTTGTTTTAAGCAATACTTTTTATTCATTTGCAATAGATATTCAATTTATAATAAATCTATATTCGTATAAAATTTAATAAAAATTGAAATATATTATATTAGTAGAATATCTTTTAATAATTACAACTAATCAAAAAATTTTTATTGATACTCTTTTCACTGATTCTTTATCCACACACACATAAAAAAAATATTTTTTTGCTAATAAAGTCTTAATGCTATCCTTAAATCAATTTAAAGTTTTACTTTAAGAGATACTCTCAAACCCTTTCTCTTATTTATATTCATTTTCAAACAAAAACTTGACTTCCTATAATCTAAAAAAATCAAAAAACATCTTCTTTACCTATAACAAGAAAGTTCTATAAGGAAAAAAAACTAATAATGTAGTACTTGAAGCCTTTCATATTGAAGCATATCTATAGAGATTATCTACAGTAGGAGGTAGCAAATATCAAGTCATATTTCAAAGTATCTGCCCACTGTTTTTTCTCTCTTATAGTTATTCAAAAAATTTTTTTGGTTTTCTGAAGAATTTTATCTATCTCAGTTTGATCCTAAATTTTAAATGACCCAATTTATTGCAAAATATAATTGATAAACATAAAAAATATTAGTAGCTAAATGTAAACAAGTTTCTACTGGTTACCTCACATGTTTCAATAATGTCATTGATTGTAATAAGAGTTGATTGGTATTCTGTTTCTATCTTGTTCTTCCAATTGGATTAACCTATAAATCAAGTACTATAAGATCAATAAAATATAAACAACAAGTCCCCAGGTAGTAAAAAAGCTACTATTTGTTCAAGCTGAAGTCTTTCTTTCTTATCATTCTGATTAAACAAAGTTCAAGACTAAGATCTCATTTTTATTCTAGTTAGACAATAAGACTAAATGGTCTCTGGTCTATGCTAAGTTCCAACCCTTTGATTATAGTTGAGAATACATTTTTTCAGAAGTTGTTAAAGGATATTGTAATTAACAAGAATCTCTATTACTCTAAAAACTCTCATACCATTACAAGGCAAAAAGATTATTGAGAAATCTAACCTTTTAAGTAATAGAAGATATATACCAATAAAATTTCTTTAACTAGGTATGGCTGCTGCAAAGTATTATACTGAAACAACATGGCTCAATTCCTACTGAATCACATAAGAACTTGGAATCTATCATAAGTTACTTCTCTATCACAGATGGATAAAAAATTATTGCTTAAATAAGGTTTAAACAAAGTATGTCCTGGAAATAAAGGCTATTACTAAATGATAAGCCTTCTCAAATAGTACACAAGAAGAAAATTAAAATCAAGAATAGATAAGTTCTTTAGATAATCAGGAGAAAAAAGAATATTCTAATCAGATATTTTTTATTGAAAAGAAGTCTTAAGAAGCAAGTATTTGAAAGAAACTAGAAAATTTCATTTTCATTTTTTTTTTATTTTCTTATATGTCCATTTGAACATTTTTAGATATACTTTTTTTTTTCAATCTATCCTTTTATAGTTTTCTATATTTTAGTGGCTTGATATGATATATAGTATGGACAACCTGCTGGCAATAATATAGTAGACTAAAAGAGTCTTTACGCAAAAACACTATAGAGCAAAATATTGTTCCCAAGGTTGAACCTAGAAGTTTTTATGCTTACAATAAGTTAGTTAGATAGAATGAAAGTAGTTTAACTATAGTATTTATCATACTGCTTGAATAAAAATATATTTATATTTTCAATTGATTAATAAACTCACAATCTAGTCTGGTTATAGGTATTCAAAAAAAAAAAAAGAAATTTATTGATATACTGTATATTTTTTATTATTCATAAGATTAAATTTTCAAACAAATATTAAAACTTAACTATACAAATAATTGAAAATATATTTTTAATGAAAAATAAATAATAAATAATTTTATATTTTTAAATATATATATTTCAAAATATAAAAAGTACAAATATTAAAATCTTTCAAATTCTTAGGAATTTCTTTTTTAGGTAATACACCCAAGGAAAGAAACAACATACACAACTCAAGACATATACTTTTACAACACCAATATACAAGAGATATCTTAGCATAGAACAATACTTTGTGTATAGTTTTAGTCTGGTGATTACTGAGAAAACACAATATATATCAACAATCTTGATCTTTTTCTCTTTTTTAAGAAGAAGGAAATAAGCCAACATAAACTAATTCACAATTAGAAAAGGGGAGCCAATATCAACTTCACAGAGCTTGTAGCTAGGCTAGTATAGATTGATATCTTTCTTGATACTACAAGGAATCTCAAAGCAAATAGGTTCACTCAATAAATCAAGCAAATCTCAAATCCCTCAAGACCCAGAAGAATATCAAAGTTCCCCAAGGTCTAAACAGCCTAACGTGCATATCCCATTGCCACAAATATCAAAACATCTCACCAAAGTAGTGCAAACACATACACATGTATAAAGCTGTTGTCAAAATAAGTTGGACAAAGATCTATCACAACAGCATAACAAGAGTGACTAAATTTGGTAAGATTAACAATCATTACTACCACAATAGAAAGTGATTAACGTAAATAGAGTGTCAGGGGTCTGTAAACACAACAACAAGTTAATGTAAATAGATAAACAACACTAGACAAAACAGAATACTCAACATGTGTCTAATCAAAACAAGATCAAGACATATATTAAAATAGGAGAATAGCTAAAAACAATAAGCTATATATATAAAAGGTTTTTCCATCTCACGTAACAATATCAACACTATATGACCCACCCCTATTATTATTTTTCATACCATATGCACAATGAACAAAACTGAAAAGATTCT